GATTTCAGAAAAGTTTTTATCTGGGCCATATGAGAACATGCCTAGGGACAGAGCTCCAAGAAGCCCTGAGACAGGGTCCAACCTCAGGAAGGCTCACAGAGGCAGGACAGGAAAGTACAGCTGGGCAGTGAGTTCCCTGCATTTGGGGAGTCCAACATCCAGCGGCAGGAGTGTGCAGATGGGGTGGGGCCTCAGGCATCTGGAGCCAGAGCCGTGGGTGGGAAGGGGTGTGGAGGCAACTATTGGGTTATCGGAAAAGTCAAGACGCATTTTTGCAATGAAGAACATAGAAAAAAATACGTCATGACTTTTGGGACAACCCAATATTTTTAAACTTCCATCAGATATAGAAAGCAGAGGCACCGCCCTTTATAATCGTTTATCTCTGTAATCGCTATTGTAGAAGGTGTACGTGGCCAGCCCCACGAGGCCTTGGTGAGGAATTCACTGTGTTCCCCTCGGAGCAGCTCAGACGCCCTTTCCTTCCTGGCATATCTGTGAAAGGGCATCATTGCTCCCCAGCGCTGATTCACTCCCGCATGGCCGGGGGCGGGGACGGGCTCATACAGACAACCCCCTTTCTCACTAACATGTTTTGAGGATCGTAGTAATTATAAAAGGTGCTCTCTCTACTTTGCACCAACAACACAGCCTCTGTGTAGATGAGTTCGCATGGTCTCAGCTCACTACATGGGCAAAGACAAATAAGGGATTGGAGATGTTTGATAAAATGTTTCCAAGTGCTTTGGAAAGCTGCCAGATTCCTTAGAATTAAACATTCATCTGTCTACCCCCAGCCATTCCAACCCCAGGCACTGACCACAGGTGTCCAGACAAAGCCGCATAGGAGAATGTTCCGAGCAGCTGCCTTCATCATCGCCAAAACCTGGCACCAACCCAGGTGTCCGTCGACAGGTAAGCGATGTGTGGTCCACACGGCCCACACATGGAATACACTCAGCCACAAAAGCAATGGGCCACTGAGGGCGCAAGACAATGGGCAGCCTCCGAGTCAATGTGCTGAGAGGAGTAGCCAGACACTCAAGCACACGTGAGGGTCTAGGACAGCAAGCTACCCATAGGGGCAAAGGGCAGAGCACTGGTCACTTCTGCCGGGGGCCTGGAGGGGCCAGTGGGTCACCCAGGTGTCTGAGGGATCTGTCTGAGGGATGAACTGCACATGTACCATCTGGACATTCCACTAGGTATAAATGCATACAATTTCACTGTAAGTAAATTACACCCCGATTTAAAAGTTCCTGGGGCCGGCCGAGTGGCGCATTGGTTAGGAGTTGGCTTGGGACGCCAGCTCTGAGCAGCAGGGCCCCGGTTCGGATCCAACATGAGGGCCAGTGACACTGCCCTCTACAGCTAAGATGGTGAACAACAGCTCGACCTGGAGCTGGGCTGCCGTGAGTCGCCGGTGACGGTGTAGGCTGCAATGGGCTGTTGCAGTGGGCTGCCATAAGCTACCATGAGTGGCCGGCAGCTGGCGTGAGCGGCGGGCAGCCCCGAGAGCTGCCAAGAGCCACCGTGAGTGGCCATCCAGTGGCTGGTGACCGATCTGCCTCATCCGGGAAGAGCACAATGATAATAACAACATGGGCCAGTGAAGCGACATCCTCCACAATTGGATTGAAGAACAAAAAAAAAAGGACAGCAACTTGTCTGTACCCCTTCCCAATTCCCCAATGCTGTTCCCCTCCCCCAATTCCCCAATAAAATCTTTAAAAAAAAAAAAGTTCCTGAAAGTAGTCCAACTGCACTACACAACTTCGGGACACTGAGACAGTAATTACTCAAAATGTTAGGACCGGAGGCAACTCTGATTAAGCATTTTAAAGAACACGTTTCCTGCCAGCCTCAGCCCCTGTGCATTTGTTTGTTGGAGGGGACGTTTGCTGCACTGCCCATGGGAAAACAGGTGTGTTCCTTCATCAGTCTGATAAATATTCCCTTCCAGAACATCCGACTAGACGATGCGGCCGAGTCAGGCGGAGAGGCTGTGGGAAGGCACCTCCGGGCATTCGAGGAATCTAAACCATGAGCACGACACAGGTCAGTTATGCCGAGCTTTGGTTTACATGAGCTCAGGTCCTGGCCAGCCAGTTTTCCTGGGGTGACCCGCCCCGGGCAGGGCAGGTCTCCTGACTATGGGCTTCCCCTTCCATGACAGTTGTCCCACCAGAGGGCAGGGGCCCTGTTGACTCTGCTCAATGCCACCCCAAGGGCCTAGCACAGAGCTTGGCACTTGTTACGGGGCTGAATAGTGTCCCCCTAAAATTTATGTTCGAGTCCCAATTCCTCATCCCTGAGAACGTGACCGTATTTGGAGACGGGGCATAAGGAGATAATTGCTTTCCTCAGCTTTATTGAGATATACTTGATATATAAGCTATAACTGACGTATAATGTGCAAAGCGATTATTTGAAACTGAGACATCTTTGCCACAATAAGGTTGGTGAACACATCCTTCACCCCACAAATTACCATTTTGTTGTCACAGGGAGACTATTTAAGATCTACTCTCTTAGGAACTTTGAAGTACACAGTGCAGTGTTGTTAACTGTCGTCAGCATGCTGTACCTGAGACCCCTGGAAGTTACCCACCTTATAACTGGAAGTGTGTGCCCTTTGACCAACATCTCCCCTCTTTCCCTCCCCCCAACCCTGGGCAAGCACCTTCTACTCTCAGCGTCTGAGTTCAGTGATTTTAGATTCTACATGTGAGATCAGACTGTATTCGTCTTTGTCTGTCCGGGTTATTGCACTTAGCGTGATGCCGTCAAGGTTAGCCCGGGTTGTTGCAAAGGGCACGATGTCCGTCTCATGGCTGCATCGTACTCCACTGCATCTATGTGCCACTTCTTCCTTATCCATTCGTCCGCTGTCTCCATGGCTTTGTGAATAACGCTGCTATAAATATGTGGGTGCAGATACGTCCTCAAGACCGTGATTTCATTTCCTCTGCATACGCAGAAGTGGGATTGCTGGATCACATAGTCGTCATCGTATTTCAATTTTTTTGAGGAACCAGCAGGCGATGAAGTTTTAAAGAGGTCATAGGGTTGGGCCTTAATCCAGTTTGACTGGTGTCCTTACAAGAAAAGATGAGGACACAGATGTGCACAAAGGGTCCTCACACAAGGAGAAGGCAGCCATCTACACGCCCAGGAATGAGGCCTCAGGGGGAACCCGCCTGCTGACACCTGACCGGGGACTTCCTGCCTCCAGGACTGGAGACAATAAACTCTTGTGTGAGCCCCCCAGGCTGTGGTGCCACATTTCCCATTATCCACTGAGTCTTCAAAGGCCCTGGGGCAGTTTCGATCTGAACACTGAGAACTCTCCGGCAATTCCTATTTACTAAGACTAAAAACAGTACTTCCAGGAATTGTGCCTCTTCCTGTGATGAAGCGAACCAGATGGTGTGTGGTTAAGTGACTGGCGCTGCACAGTCACCAAGTCCGTTCCCTAAAACAGGCGTGGACGAAAAAGGGGCCGCGTACTAAACCGACGAGCTCAGGGGTGTCCAGCCTGGCGGGCCCCACAAACTCAGAGATGAAAGGAACCACACAGCATGGTCTGAACGTAAAAATTCCTAACTAAAGGCGGGTCACGGCAGGTAGTCTCGTCCTAGGCCTGTAGCTTCCTTGACAAAGGTCACTCTTCACCTGAAGTGAGCCTGTCTGCTGTCTTTTTGCATCTAGGATAACATACCCTTGGAGTGTGAGTAATCCTGGGATCCCCCAGGGCACAGCCCACCACACCACAGCAGCACCCCTCACTGCTGTTCTTGTCCCGATTACCACCTCTCTGCGCTGTAAAATGCTGCTCTGTCCTGTACCCACCCATGTAAAGCAAGTGTGTGTCTCTCCATTTTACTTTTTATCCAACCCCCAAGATCTCCCCATCTCCCCGCTTGGCTTTCTCCCGCCCCCTTCACCTGCCACCCACGGATTCCACTATCCTCCTGCCCGCTCCTCCTTTGATTCTAATGTATAAAATAAGCTGCAAAACCGCCCTGTTCCGAAGCATTTCCTTAACCCGCTGAGATTTTGCTTCCCGGCAGTCAGTTTGGCTCAGATAAACTCATTAAACTTCTCGACAGGCTTGGACATTTCTTACCACGTCACAGGGCAAGCGGGCGACTGAGCAGCTCCGTGAGGTGACCTGGTGGGCGCCCCGTGGCGGCGGACCCGCTACTGCAAAGGGGCCCCCAGGGCACCATCTACCCGCCGCCCGGAGCGGCTTCCGGGCTGGCTGACGTCATGCGTGACGTGCCATGTCAGACAGAAGCGTCAGCTCAGCTCACTGGAAATGCAGTGAGGAAGAGCCGGTTGAACGACGCGGCAGAGCCAGACGGAGAGGCTGTGGGAAGGCACCGCCGGGCATCGGAGGAATCGAAACCCTGTGAGCACGTGTTCGCCCGGCGGCTCCCGCGCCGCCGTCGCGGGACCGGACGTGACGTGGCAGCGCCAGGCGCGCGCCGAGGACGCCCCGGGTCGTGCACAGGTTACTCTGCACTTCCGTGAGGATAGGAACTCCTCCAAAGTGAAAATTAGGAAGAAGGAAATCATCCTCGGACTCTGGTGACGTCAAAGAGGAACTGTAACTAGTTTCAAGTTTACGGCCAAAAAAAACCAAAACAAACAAAAAAAAAAACTGAGACACTGCCCCGCCTGCACCCCACGACTTTCGTCCCCGTGTCGCCTCCCTCCTACCAGGAGGCGCACCTCACCCAGGGCCCACCCCCCGGCGCAAGAGTCCCGCCCACAACCTCATCCCCGGCCTATCCCGCGCCGCTAGGGCACGCACCTCCCGCCCACTCCCCGCCCCCGCGAGTCCACTCCGACTCAGGCCTTTCCCGCGCTGCCAACTCCCGCCCCGAGTATCTCCTCTGGCCTATCCCGCGCCGCACCGCCCACGAGCCCCGCCCTCGCCCTCGCCCTCGGCCTATCCCGCGCCGCGCACGAGCCCCGTCCCCGCCCTGCGCGGGGGTTTGGCGCGCGGCTGTGACATCACGGACGGGGCGCGGGGCGGGCGCCGAACTTCCCGGCCCGCGGCGATGCCCAAGCGGGGCTGCCCCTTCGGGGACGCGGCCCCGCTACAACTCAAGGTCCGAGTGGGCTGGAGGGAGCTAGGCCGCGGCGTGTACGCCGAGCGCTACTCGCAGGAGATCTTCGGTGAGTGCGGGGTAGGGCTTCCTCTCCGCGACGCGGAGCCTGGGCAGGATGTCTCCGCAGGCCGCGCCCCCGGGAGCTGGGAGGCCTGGGACCACCCGGGAGCCGGGATTTGGAGCAGTGAGTGGGGAGCGAATGCGCCCATGTCCCCCGGCGCTGGCCACAACCCGCAAGAAGTGCCCACGCCTGCCCAAACGAGCGGCCTCTGCGTGGTGCCGCCCCGCGGCTCGGACCTGCCGGGATGCCGAGCTCGCGCCGTAGCTAGCCAGCTAGCCCTCGTCTGACTAGCACTAGGGTGCCTCAGCCCCAGCGAGAGGTCGGGGAGTGGGATGTCTTGGGTGGAATAAGCCGGCAGAAGCACCTGGTCTAACCGAGAGGCGTTTGAGAAGCGCGCCCTCCCTGCCAGGCACTGCGGCTGCGCGCGAGACGCTGCCTCCCGGGAGCTCCCGGGTCTAGTGGGAGACCGGCAGGAGAAGGACTGTCCGGAGAGGATCATGGCTGGCACAAGTCGCTGCAGGAGCAGCTGCAAGGGTGTCAGAGGTCTGCTGGAGGAACGGAGCCTAAGCGGAATCCTGCCGGGTGACTGACTAGGAGGGAGACAGGCAGAGAGGGTGAGACGGAACAGGGTGTGCAAAAGCCAGGAAGCAGGAGCGTGCGGTAGGATTTCGTGTGGCCAAAATGTCCACTTCAGGGTGAGATGCGAGGGCAGTAAACCATTGGAGACCTCCTCACCTGGCTCTCATACAGATTTTTAGGTGCACTGATGTTATTATTTTATTGGGGAACAGCCATGGCCATTGGTTACTCACTGTTTTCATGCTACAACGGCAGAGTTGACTCTTAGGGAGGGCACAGCTCACAGCGACCCATGCGGGGATCAGACCGGCAACCTTGATGGTATCAGCACCACGCTCTAAGCAACTGAGCGGTCACCCCTGCATTGATATTATTGATCCTCAGTTTGGGGTGGTTGATACTCTGGGGCAACTATAATGTAAAGCTTACCTCACCGAGAGGTCGGGGGCACAAGCATAAGGTGTGCGCCCGCGGAGCAGTTAGAAAGTGACCTGGGTGTTTGTGATTAAGTGGTTCTGTGTGTGTTAGGGGCGTGGGGAAGAGCCCAGCCTCGGGAGACCCCAGTTCTCTTCTGCCGCTCCCCTCCATCCCAGCCACCCCCATCCTCACCTGCTCTGCCTTCCTTGCCTTGCTCACTCAGGCTGCAAACACAAACGCTTTCCAAGGCCATGCAAGTAATAAACATGAGTGAAGCCATGGCGCAGAACTGCATTTGTGATCTGTAAGGACCTTCAAAAAGCATACACACTACCAGCAGCAGGAAAAAAAATGGGGAGCAAGGCAGCCTGGCTCTTGACCCTCTCCCTTGACTGCCCGTTTGCAGGGCCCCATGACTTGCAGGCTTCCCAGGGAGAGCGGCTGGGCCCCCTGGGCATTCCATAATGAGGGCACGGTGCCCAGTTTGAACTGCTGTGTAACAGATTCCAAGCTCAAAGCTGTCACCCTGACCACGATACCTTGAATGTGAACATTAGCCTCACCATGTGACCCCCGCCCCCGCATTCCCATCCCATTGTGAGTTGGGGAGGGCACAGGGGAACCTGGAGGAGAGAGAGCTGGTGCGGCCAGGCTGTTGTTAGCCACTCCGTTTGAGTAACTGTTCCTGTCAATTTCATGTAGAGCCAGTAGTTTCCAGGATACCCACCCTTGTCCGTTGGGACAAGGCAGAAACGACAAACGAAGCACTTCTGGGGCTGGTGCTGGGCTTTTGATCTTGTGAAAGCCCCCAGGTGGCTGACATGTGGCCCAATGGAAAGCCACTGCTGTGGGTGCTGAGCAGCCGGTTCAGCTCTGTGGGCGGGGTTGTCCGGAGCCTACGGAGGTCTGGAAAGTTCAGGAGTCTGTTGCCGCCTGTCTTTCGCCAGCAGCTCTGCAGTGAGTGAAGGAGGCACACGCTGGCCTGGGCTTGGAGGCCCCGCTCTGAGCCTCTGCCTGTGAACCCTTGCTCCATAGCTCGGAGCTCCTCTGCTGAACGCAGCTGGCTGGCAGGGCGCTGGGGAGGAGGGGAGCAGCCGTGAGGCGAGGCCACACGTTGAGAGAGCCGTGTCGAAAATGAGCAGAGTGACTGGAGAGGGAGCCCAGGTGGGGCTGCAGGGTCCCAAACCTACCTGTAGGCAGCGGCAGCTGAGCCTGGTTCAGGAAGGGTGGGAGGCAGAGTGGGCGCCGTTCCCCAGGGAGCAGCGTGGGCAGGGGTGACTGGAGGACAGCGTGGAGGAGGCCTCACCACATCCGGCTCGAAGGACGAGATGGCCGTGCAAGCGCTTCCGAGCCACAGAGGCCTCACCGGAGGAATGCTTTGTCTCCCCAGAGAAGACCAGGCAGCTTCTTTTTCGCGGGGCCCAGGCCTACATGGACCACGTGTGGGAGGAAGGCTGCGCCATCGTTGACCTGCCGGAGTCCCCGAAACCTGGCCCCACAGAAGCCCCGCGGGCTACACATGGGCAGATGCTGATTGGACCTGACGGCCGGCTGACCAGGAGGCGAGCGCCAGCCTGTGAAGCTGGTGAGTGAGGCCCATAGCGGGCACTTCCGCCCATCTGAGACACGGTCTGCCCAGGGTCTGGAGCTGGGGCAACCCTGGGAGGCCCCTGACATGTGGAGGCTGCCCCCGCCGATATCCAAGTCTGGGAGTTGGAAAGTGGCTTGTAACGGTCAGGTCAGACAGGAGCAGAGACCCACGTGTGTGGCCCACTTGGGTGTCCTGCCCGCTTTCCCTGCAGCCCCCCAGAGTCCTGCCTGGGTGGGAGCAGCCTGGTCTGATGTCTGCAGTGCAGTGTGTGTGTCAGACTGTCGGCTGGTTAAAAACAGAGACCCCAGCCCACCCCCGAGTCTAGGCAGAGCCCAGGAGCCTCTGATAACCTGTGACATAGATGCCAACACCGGAGAAATGCCAAGAGAGTTCTGATGCCTCCTGGGAAGAGCTGGTCCTTGCATCTAGGGTGCGGGGGTCTGGGGAGCAGTAAAGGTAGGGACACAGTCTGGAGTCACAGAACCACTGGCTGTCCTTGCTTATGGGTTGTCCTGAGGATCCAGGTAGACCAGGTGCGGGAGGGGAGGGTCAGCCTCTCCCAGGTTGGGAGGCGGTGGCCCTGCAGCCTCAGCACCGCGAGTCTCTGCCCGGGCTGACAGGTGGCGTTTCTTCCTCACAGACACATCCGGGCCGGTGTCCAGAGCCTGCTCCTCGTGCGTGCGAGCTGTGGACGGGTCAGCGGCATGCGGCCAGTGTGAGCGCGCCCTGTGTGGGCGGTGTGTGCGCACCTGCAGTGGCTGTGGGGCCGTGGCCTGTGCCCTGTGTTCCCTCGTGGAGTAAGTGCTTGTCTCGTGGGGCGCCCCACCTGGGTTGGGGGCCCTGGAAGACTGAGGTCCTTTCTGAGGGGAGTCAGGTCTCGCAGGTTGCCAGCTCTGTGCCTGGCCAAGGCTTTCTGTCTTACCAGTCGTATCCCAACTTGAAGCCCTCACGTTGGGACAGTGCATGTGGTTTTCCTATGTGGGTGTCTCCTTATTGGAGGAAACCCCAATAGGTGCGTGCAGGTGTCACCATGTCCTGTGTGCCTGGTTATGGCTGTTGAGCAGGAAACAGTGTTTGCTCCGCCTGTTTCTTGAGTGCGTGTGTGTACGTGCGTGTGAGTGAGTTTGTGCGCGCTGGGCACCGGTTCCACCCAGCGGCCTCTCGGCTGACAGGTGGGAGTGTGGGCAGCGCCCTGTAGGAAAGACACACGCCCAAGCAGACTGGGAGCTGCCTAAATCTGGCTTTCCCCCTGACAGTCTTCAGAGCCAAGCATGGGAAGTTAGGTGGGCCTCTGATAAGACAGAAAGGCGGCAGGTGGGGGCTCTGGGAGGATCCAGACCTCAAGGCCAGTCCCAGGGAGTGGGACATGGGACTGGGGAACGCTCACGCCGCCCAGCTTCAGAGTGACATGTTGCGCGAGGTACGAATGGAACTTATTTTCACCGACTTAACTCTTGTCCATCTGTTTCTGTGCAAACGGGGCAGGGCCTGCCATGGCCACGGCCTCCTGACGTGAGGACACAGCAGAAGGGCAGGCTGAGGGGCGGCGGGTGCCCTCCCCCCGCTGGCTCCATAACGCTGGAAACTTCCTCCTGCCCACAGAGTCCTGGCAAGACTTCCCCTGCCAGTTCCCTCCCAGCCTTTACCTCCTTCTCCTCCTCCCCAGTTACCCACAGGGGTTGTGCTGCGACGTCAGAGCCGGCTGTGACTTCATGGTGCACACGCCCGTTTCTCGTGGCTACAGTCAGCGGGTATAAACGAACGACTTGCTCCGGGTCACAAAGCCGAACGGCGTCCCCAGGCTCAGGAGCCAGGCCTCGGGCCTGCTGTGCCCACAGCCTTCTGCCCCTCCCCAGCTGCGTCCAGCGTGGCCCCTCGGGGCTCACAGCCCAGCCACTGGCGGGCAGTCCTGGCACCAGCTGGGGCTGGTTCCCGTCCCACTTGCAGACAACAGGCTTGTCTAAAATACCAGGTAGCTTGCAGCTCTGACCTCCTCGCCGACATCTCAGACTCAGCAGCCTTCCTCGTGTTTCCTATAGCGTGCTGCCAATTTCCTGTCCTTTCAAGACCTCTCCTGATGAATGTCCCTGCAAGTCCCTGAATTCCTTCCCTTGACTTCATTTACCTGCTCCCAGCGTGAACCATCGGGGTCCAGGAAATCCCAACTAGACACCTGGGTGGTTTCTGTGGGGACTTCCATCCAGTTTGAAACCCAGATGGGGCCCCAGGTGGCTCGGCAGCTGTCTGGCACAGCCGCTCCAACAAGCAGCAAAGGCAGGTGGCCTTTGTTCCCTCGCTCTGGGGCCAGAAGCCCAATGTCAGGGCCTCGGCAGGGCTGGTTCCTTCTGAGACTGCAAGGAAGGATCTGCCCCAGGCCTCTCCCAGCGTCTGGTGCTTTCTGGCACACGGGCGGCCTCCCTGTATCCTCGTATCACCTTTCCTCTACGCTTGTCTTTCTCGTCACGTGTTGTTTTTCTAAGGATTCTAGTTGTGTGGGACTGGGTCCCCACCCCCCCAATTCCGGGGACCTCCTCCTAATAAATGACATCTGCAGTGAACATCCCCGTCTCCAAATAAGGTTAAGGGCCTGGGAGTTAGCCCCTCAACATATTTGGGGGGACACAACTCAGCCCCCTAATACCAGCTCTTCTTCCTCCTCCCTGCGATGTCACAGCTGCAGTGACATTCATGAGAAAGTGCTGTGTGCCAGCTGTGCCATGTTCGAAGCCTGAGGGCCGGGAGCGGACGGCAGCCTTGTCTGGATGACCTCACAGGCATCGACGCAGAGCAGCTGGGGAAGGTGGGGACTTTCTTTTATGTTTTGTACTCCTGGTGGCAGAAGTGAATAAATCCCTTTATATTTGGACGCAAGGACTTGCTCGTGTTGATAGTCCTGAAGGTGTTGCCTCCTGGTCGTGGGACCAGCTGATGTTGGAGGCAGCGGGGATGCCGGGGCTTCTGTGGCAGCTCATTTAATGCCCCCTGGGCTTCATGTGAGGTGCTGGCCCGGTCATCCCCATTTTATAGATGGGAAAACTGAGGCCAGAGTGGGTGACTCACCAGCCCACCCAGCCAGTCACGGTGAGAAAGGATTTGAACCCAGGTTGTCCGACTTCAGAGTGGGTAACCATTGTGCCAGCACACCAGACTGTCCCTGAAATGGCACCGTAATGCCCCATCCCTGTGTCCACTGGCTTTTTTGGGTGCCTGTGTGGTGGGGGCTGGGTGACTGACAGGCCCTGCCCTCCCGGAGCAGTGGCCAGCGGGGATGATGTCCTCGTTCCTTTGTGGTTTGTGTGGCCTGAAGTTTGAGGGAGGCACAAACAGCTGTGGACAAGCAGGCGCGGGCCCGCACGGGAGGCCCCTGCAGGGCCGCCTCAGCACTGTGGGCCCGGGGTAAGTCAGTGGTCAGGGCAGGGCCTTCCCTGCTCGTGGGGCCAGGGCAGTGTCAGTGTTGAGGGGTGGGAACAATGATTCTAAGAAGAAGCTGGGTGATGGGGCAGAGCCGGCCCAGGTCCCGTTTGCTCCACGGGCGAAGTGCAGGGCCACTGAAGCCGCCAGGGAGGGCCACAGAGAGGCAGTTAGGACAGCGGGGCTGCGCAGGACTGCCGGGGCTTCTGAACCGAGAGTGAGCGTCCTCAGGTCATCTGGGTGACAGGCAGTCTGCCACGGGCACCAGAAACGGCGAGTCATTGTTGG